ATCTACTGTACAGCATGTTAATCTCAGTGCTCTCAACCACTAGTTAGAACTGACGAAGCCTCTTGGATGAGAGACTAAACGTCTTCTAGAAAACTTCCCGTCCAGTTTTTTTCGGGTTGGACTTTTCAAGCTCTAGTGAAAGCAGTACAGATTCATGCAGCTTTAAGTTCACTGTGGTGATGCGGATAATAGACGATTATTTTATGAAACACTAACAAGCTAGGCTTTACTCTACCTTGAAAAAGCCATAAATGTGCCTGTACCTGCAGGTCTGTGTGACAAAGTGACTCAGGATGACCCAAATGTATCTTGAACTTTCTTACATTTACACATGACTGTGCATTGCTATAAACCACTGCATCTTAGGTCTGATTATTTAGGAATCAATTTTTTGTTGGAAGATGACCAACACTCTGCAGGCTTTTGTAATATGTCAAAGATTTTTCTGCCCAGGAATGATGTAAATTAATCTATTGATGTAAATTTAAATCCCTTTATTGCCCCACAATGGGAAAATTCACCCTCTGCATTTTAACCCATCCCCTTGGGGTGCAGGGAACTGCCATTGTGTGGCGCCCGGGGAGCAAAGGGTTAAAGGGTCCTACCAATTTGCAACCAAGACTGCAGTCTGTTGGGGCGACAGTGGCGTTGGATGTAGGAGTTTGCCCTGAAATCGAAGGGTTGACGGTTCAAGCCCCAACTCTGACTTTCAGTGTCGTTGTGTCCTTGGGCAAGACACTTCACCTGCATTGCCTACTGATGGTGGTCAGAGGGCCCAGTGGCGCCAGTGAGCCCCAAGGCAGCTGTGGCTACAATGTAGCTTGCCACTGTGAGTGTGTGCGTGAATGGGTGAATGAATGTAGTGTAAAGCGCTTTGGTCAAGTCTCCTGACTTGTATAAAGGCGCTATATAACTACTTACCATTTACTATCGAACTGGATACTTGCAACCTTTTCAGAGCACATTGGCACTGCTCTAACCACTAGGCCAACACTCCCCCAACATAAGCTTCAACCTTCTTTACATAACCTCCCACCACCTTCCCTGCCTATATTTAAGAACAGGCAGCTTTTCAAGGTTTTTACGTATGTCTATGGCACTTTGAATTACTTGTATGAACAGTTCACCTTAATTTTCAGTGTCATATTATTTTCATTTTTTTTTTTTTCAATAATTCAGATCATTATCATCTACAACTATATGGCAGAACTTCCTGTAGCACATTCAATTGCTTGTTTAAATTAGGTGGAAACAAACCTGTTTGCACATCTCAAACATTGCACATGCAATCTTTGTATATCACCAGCAAACAGCCTATTTATTGCACTTGTTCCTTATTTGAAATCTTTGAAACACATAGTATTTCAAACTTGGACTTTAGGTATCAACTGAACCCTACATGAAAAACTCTAAATTAGACTTTCTTTTAGCAGTTACTTGTTTTTTTCCATGAGATGTTATACTCTCACACCGTAGCTCTGAATTTATACTGATGTTTTCTAACAGAACTGCTGTATCTAAACTGAGAATGGGGGTGGACTGTCTTAGGAGAAACTTTGAAAGTAACTGTATTTTATTAGGAGACATTAGATGAAAGGGGCTAAATATCAAGGCATTCCACTCTACAGTTTTTTGTTTGTTTGTTTATACCTTGGGTCTGTTTTTTTGTTTTGTTTTTTACAATTAATAAGCAATTTTGTGGTGGTCTATTACATAAAAAATGCAATAGTGAGAGATATTAGCAAGTTCAAATATGGATGTTGGTGAAGGTTCTCAATCATCCAGGTCATAGTATTTCCAAAAAAATGTAAAAACAATCCACTGGACTTGGTTTCCAGGTATGAAGACATTTCACTTCCCATCCAGGAAGCTTTTTCAATTCAAAATGTCAGGAATACATGAAGGATCAAATATGATCCTTGCTGGGGAATAATCAAATATGGATCCTTCACCAGCCACTGCAAATGCAACAGCATAGAATGAAAGACCAAGACCTGTTGCCTGATAAAGATGATGAGAAAGTGATATTGAACTTTGTATATAAGTTTGTGAGAGATTAAAAAATTAGAAGCAGATATATGCTCAGTTTTTCCATTCTTTAATTTATTTGGGGTGAGCTTCTTTTAGGTGGAAGTCAAAGGTGACTGGTCCTGGCAGACTCTTGGACGGTAAAGTTTCTCTAACAAATCACACATTCATGTCAGATCAAAGCATTTTATAAATCATCCCAGCTCCATTTTTTTTAGCTGCTTCTTACTTGTTCTTGCCCCTTTTTCTTGTTCCATATCAAACCTGGTTCCTGTCTCTCGTCAATTCTCTGCCTAACTAGTAATCTGTCTGTCCCGTCTTCGGGAAACTGATGGTAGTGCATGCAACCAGGATGTTATTCTGTACAATCACTTATACTGCACCCTCAAAGCATGTGGAGCCCATTTCAGAGGTGTCAGACACGACAGAGGTACATAACCCGCTCTGCTGAGTTACAGCCAGAGCTCATCTTTGATCTTCGAGGCAGGCCGTCTCTTTCTTTTTTCTGTCTCACTTAATTTTCCTCTGAATGCTCTTTGTATCAACACTACTCCTCTTATGTGGAGATTTGGAGACAGAAAAATCTATTCAAACTCCAAAGAACATCGGTTGAGCTTAACATGATTCCCTTACCAGAGCCCACAGGGGTTTAAGGAAGCTCTACTGTCAAAAAATAAACAGTTCACTGACTTTGATTAGGTGGTCATAAAGTTATAGCTTAGGTATTCATAAAATCTCTGTTTTTTATGACTGTGTGATCAGAGAGGGAGGAATAATCATCATGGTCATTAATTAAACATATATTTTGGGTTCTTTATGACTTATTCAAACGGAATAACGGATATTTCAAATCTCTTTATGTTTTTCTAAACTAGCAGAATGTAACTTTTTATTGCAAGATACACACATTTTCAGTTTGAAGTCCAGGCTATGCATAAAGCGTAGTTCTCAGTCTTCTTTTATCCATCACAAAGCCTATTATAGTATGTATTTGTATATCAGTGTCTTTTTGGAACACAGAACTGCATTGGTGTTTTAACCATCTGACCCAAAAAGTCAGATAATCAAAAGTATGAGGGGGAAAGGTAAAGGAACCGCCAATATTCAAAAATATGATGAACCAAAAAACTGCAGACATCAGTGTCCTTGTGAAATTGTGGAGCAGGTATTTCATAAGTATAGAGTAAGAGGATGCTGACAAAAAAAAAGTTTGTGCACTAAGATTATAATCCTTGAGCTTGATAATGAAGTACTGCTTCCCTATGGACTATGGACAATCTAATCTGGAGAGGATATGTGGCCAAATGAGACAAATACTGTTGGCCACAGTAACAAATTGATTGTTTATATTGGTCAAGATGAAACTTTCAACTCAAAACTTGAGCATGGTGTTGTTGGTAACATGCTTTGGAGTAGCTTTACTCCCAGTGCTACTGGTGAGTTGCACAAGCAGAAGACAGGAGCTCTGCCTTCTGTAAATTCAGAAATTCACCCAAATCAACAGTTGGATTGTTAAACTTGGATACAATTAGGACAATGACATCAAGCACACTGAAACTGGTTCTGAAACAGATCATATGCACTAACAATAAGCTTATGAAACAGTCTTGGTCTAAAGCCCTGTTGGAAAATTGTAGATGAAAGCTTGGTCTCTGGCAGTGAATTAAAAAAATAAATTACATGTACTAGTTGTGACATAGCTCGTAGATATCCAGCCAGTATTATGTGAGACTTACTTGTTTAACCATTTTTTACATTTTAACCTTTTTATTATTTTTTTTACTGACCCTAATAAAGTTGTTTATGTTTTGTTTTTATACTGCTCTTTAAAGAATTTTTAATATGTTTTCTAATTATATGGTAGCATTTCCTATAAAACTCCCGTACTTGGGCTTAATGTTTCTGGAATCTTCCACCAGCTTCTCACAATAGATTGCTAAAACTTTGGCCCATTCCTTCGTGGCTCAAACCAAGTCAGGTTTCTATACACACAGCCTTTATCATTTCCCACAACACCTGTTGAAGATCCAGAAATTCTTAGGGTCACTCCAAAAAACTGACCTTTTTGTCTTTAAACTTTGTGGCTAATTTGACTATTCGGACGACGCATTTGTGTTCAAACTTTACCTTCATGGCTGATGTCTGATGTTGCCCAGATAAACCTGACAAATTCAAGCAACTGCAGGTCCAGAGATCTCTTGCTATCTTGTCTGATTTCTCATGATGAAACAAAAGAGACTTATTTTTTGGGTGGATTTGTTTCACCTGAGTAAAATAAATTTGGAATGCTTTGTGTTCTTTCTATCTCCACTGCCCTAAAAGACCACAAACATTTTTATTTAAATAAGCATCATAATGTCAGACTAAGTTTGAACTGCATTACACCTCCAGAACAGTGGGTGGTGGTGATAAAAAACCATCCATCCACCCATCCCTCAATTTTCTATTCGTGCCTTTTCCATACAGAGATACACAAGACAAATAACCAGCTCATTTTAGGAATTCTGTTAGAAAATTCTTGACGATAGAAGGTGGCCAGAGTACCCGAAAGAACTCACGCATGAATGGTTGAACTATAAACTCGATAATAGGGGAACAGCAAACCTTGACCTTTGAGTGCAGCAGAAACATATATGTCAGAAAATATTGCTGCACTTTTTTACTCAAGTGATATCTTGATAAACTGAACAGATATTTGAGTTTCACACAGCTATAGCCTTGTTTCTATTTTAAGACTTTCTCCCCCAACAATCACAGTATGACTTTTAGATGATCCTCTGATTGTTGATGAATGATCCTTGAAAAAATTTGGCTGACTCTTATTGTTGTTGCCCTGAGAAGAAATCTATTTATTAGGGATCCTACTTGAACTAAAATAAGGAACGTTTAGTCTGCTTTAATGTCAGACACTTAGAGAAAAATTTTGTTTGTAGCAATATCTAAAGTCTTATATATGCCTGAAGTATACATACCTCAGTCACCCCCTATGACATTGGAGATGCTGCACAGGATCACTCTGCTTTGCACAAAGTCAGGACCTTCTCCCCTGACTTTGGAGGCCTCCTGGAGCTGAGCCATGGAGCTGCAGATCAGAGGTCACAATCAGTGAAAGTGTGTCTGTGTGAGTGAGATTCTGAGTTCACATTCTTTCTTTCATGCTGCAAGTGTGCATATGCTTGAGCATTGCTTTCCTCCTGGCACATGTGAAGCATTACAGTCTCTACCATGAGGCAGTATCCTGCAGATCGGCGCAGTCTGGATCACGGCTTTGGCGCTGCATGAAAAACGCTGTGACAGTAAGTGGACCCTGAAACACAAAGCAGACCAAGCATTCTTCACGGGTTCAAACTGTGTTGCACAACAAGCAGGAGGTGATAGGTTCCACCTCATTTGCAGTGGCCAAACAGTCTCTTGTGGATGTGTAAAATACACAAGATTGACACAGAAATTTGATCTTTTTCACATATTTTCCTTGGAGTGTAAATTAGCCAAATTGCTTCCTAGTATGGGGCAGTTGCGCTCAACACAGTTCTGACGTTTAACAGATTAATTTGTAACTAATGATCTTTCCTTGAGATAAGTCAACTAAAGCATTGATCTTTATTTAAAAAAATAGATTTCAGCAGTAAGTTATCAAATCTTTGTCAAATTAGGTGCTTTATGACAGGATCTGTTGTCTTAAAATATCTTATGATAACAATGTTTACCAATCATGATAAAGAAGCATCAAAATTCTTTGAATAAAAATCAACATCTACTGTAGTAGCAGTAGCTCACACTGTAATCTGCAGGAAATAATTATCATCTTTAATGGAGAACATATTCACGACTAAGGAAAGAAAATTCTCTATTAATATATAATCCTCTATTTGTTTTTTTCAAATAATGAAAACCAGAAGCATTGCAGAAGCTACTGTTTTATCACTTTATTAAACTTCCTAATGCATTAGGGAGTCTGTTGTGGACAGAGATGGCAAAAGTACTCACTTTCCGTACTTGAGTAAAAGTACAGATACTTGTGTTAAAAAATACTCTGGTAAAAGTGGAAGTACTGATTAAACTTCTTTACTCAAGTAAAAGTAACAAAGTACAGGCTTGTAAATTTACTTAAAGTATAAAAGTAAAAGTAGAAACCAGTTTTTTCATGCCGTTGCCTACATTTTAAATGGATGTCTGCCAATAGGATTAGATCTCCGTTGTGTTCTTTTTCAACTATCTTGTCATCCATGCTACTATGCTAACGCCACCGCCACCAAGCTGCAATGATTTGCTGCGAATGAATACCGCTGAATCTGTCGATTCATCTTGTAGTGGTGCGTCAAATGCAACGTAGATTCCCATCCAATTATATTGAATTTGGTACTGATGACGTGAAAAATAATAACGGTAACTCCATTGAAATGATTCAAAACTAAAGTAACGAGACAATTTTTTCAAATGTAAGGAGTAGAAAGTACAGATATTTGTGTAAAAATGTAAGGAGTAGAAGTAAAAAGTCGCCATAAAAATAAGTAGTAAAGTAAAGTAAAAATATTAGAAAAATCTACTCGAGTACAGAAACAAAGGATTTGTACTTCGTTACTTCCCATCTCTGGTTGTGGAATACTCAGATCAGAGTATTTCACCCTCTTTTTCAAATCTATCTAAATTGTCAAGTCCTCTCTTCGTTTCATCCAATAGGTTTGCTCTATTATTCAGTACCAGGGTCTAAGATAAATACAGATGAAAATTGATTTAAAGTTAACATTTTCCATGTTGATTTGGTTATATTGCTTGTTTTTTCCCTAAAAACCCATCAAACACGCCTTTTTCAGGTTTACGATAGAGGCTGGAACTTTTTCTTTATTTGAAATCTCCTGATGGCGGATGTCCTGGTGGAAGGCCAAGGACACGCTGTCTCTGCTTAGATTGCTGTCTACATGATCCGGTCCTGGATAAAGCAGAAGAAAATTGATTGATGAAATCTCCAGATATAGTGGAGAATTTGTGATGCCATAAATCACAGTAGGGTTTTCATGCACTTTCATAAACCCTCTCAGTCAAGAGGGATGAGGTGTTGTTCTACCTATCATTGTTTTATATCAAAACAACCAGAAATGAAAGCTCAATCTTAGCCTTTTCTGACCAAAGCATGCATTTAAATCTAAAGAATTTAAATTAAATAGACTCCTCCTGTTTATGTTTTTAATATTAGGAAATAAGAATGCACATGATGAGGATAATCATTGTTGCTGTTGGGACTGGTTGGCGGTCTCTAACAGTTTGAAATTTTTTTTTAAATATAAATCCTTTTATTGTCCCACAATGGGAAAATTCGTCCTCTGCATTTTGACCCATCCCTTTGGGGAGCAGTGGGCTGCCATTGTGTGGCACCCAGGGAGCAATCAGGGGTTAAGGGTCTTGCTCAGGGACCCAGAGTGGGCGCTGTGGGGATTGAACAGGGCACTTGCAACCTTCTCAGAGCACAAGCACACTGCTCTAACCACTAAGCCAACAATCACCAAATAAATATGAGAGTTAAATTGTGCATTCTTAGGATATATTTGAGGCTTTTTAAACAACTTTACCAGGGATGTCACTGGTCGCATTAGGGGTTTTTCTAGACAAGCAGTAGATACACAAAATCCAAACAAGTGCAGTCAGCTCATGTGAACAAAAACTTACATTTTATTTCAGTATAATATGAGACAAAAGTCATAATTCTGACTTTAATCTCAGAATTCTGACTGAATTCTGACAGCTAACAAACATGTTAGTATCAAGCTAGCCATGTCTGTTTTAGAGACAAGCTCTCTTGTTTTAATCACCTTCTACTCTTCCATTAATTAAATAGCATCACTGGGGACCCATCTGGCACATAAAAAAGTCACCTAATTCCTTCATTTTCCACCAGTGTGTTACTGGCCCTCCCAAACAACTCACATCTTTGTCAGTGAAGCTGAGTGCTCCCACATCTCTTCCTTCATGGTGCCCATCTATATTAAGATCCACAATTCTCAGATTAAAGACAGAATTCTGAGAAAAAAAAGTCAGAATTCTGAGATTAAAGTCAGAATACTAAAAAAAACAGAATTCTGAGAAAAAATTAGAATTTTGAGATTAAAGTCAGAAATCTAAAAAAGTCAGAAACTGAAATTAAAGACAGAATTCTGAGAAAAAAGTCAGAATTGTGAGATTAAAGTCAGAAATCTGAAAAAGTCAGAAACTGAAATTAAAGACAGAATTCTGAGAAAAAAGTCAGAATTGTGAGATTAAAGTCAGAAATCTGAAAAAGTCAGAATTCTGAGAAAAAACAGAATTGTGAGATTAAAGTCAGAATTCTGAAATTAAAGTCAGAATTCTGAAAAAAAAAACAGAATATTAAGATTAAAGTCAGAATTCTGAAAAGTCAGAATTTTGAGATTTAAGTCAGAATTCTGAAAAAAGTCAGAATTCTGAGAAAAAAGTCAGAATTGTGAGATTAAAGTCAGAAATCTGAAAAAGTCAGAATTCTGAGAAAAAACAGAATTGTGAGATTAAAGTCAGAATTCTGAAATTAAAGTCAGAATTCTGAAAAAAAACAGAATATTAAGATTAAAGTCAGAATTCGGAAAAGTCAGAATTTTGAGATTTAAGTCAGAATTCTGAAAAAAGTCAGAATTCTGAGAAAAAAGTCAGAATTCTGAGATTAAAGTCAGAAATCTGAAAAAGTCAGAGTTCTGAGAAAAAACAGAATTTTAAGATTAAAGTCAGAATTTTGAGATTAAAGTCAGAATTCTGAAAAAAGTCAGAATTCTGAGAAAAAAGTCAAAATTCTGAAAAAAAGTCAGATTAAAAAAAAAGATTAAAGTCAGAATTCTGAGATTAAAGTCAAAATTCTCATTTTTTTTTCTCATATTATACTGATATAAAATTTTAAAATCAGTTAACTAATTTTCAGTGGCCCTAATCCCCTAGAGAGAGAGGGTCTGAGTGAAAAGGCCTCCATCCTGTTTTACTTTAACGAACTGGCGGCTTTTCTCCAGATCCCGCAAATCTGCAAGTGCAACACCAGATAAAAGATAGAGACAATATTTATTTATTTACTTTGACAAAAATAAAGCTTTGTGGAAACTTTTTAAAGAAACCATGTAAAAATTAGTACCATGATTGTTTAAGGTAATGTATTAATTTTCGTATATTTTCCAAGGAACTAGATCTTTAAATGCGGATGTATTTATGTATTCGTTTTATTTATTTATTTTATTTTGGAGAATCGCGAAATTTGAAGAAAAACCAAAGAAATGAAGTAAGAAAGAAGTGAAGGAAAAGCAGGAGGACCAGGCTGTGACAGAAAGCACCGCAGCTTTCTGCTCATCGGACAGACAGAGGCGCACCCAGGACTCACCCTCCGCCCACCAAACCCCTCCCCTCCTCTCTCCAAACTATTTAGCATCTGAAGTTGGACGAAGTTTCCCCAACTTTTTCTTTTTTCAAACTTAAAAAAAAAGCTTTTGCTAAAGGAGACGTAGGCCCGCAGCCAGACTGAGCTCAGTTTGTTGGAAGCCCAGCATCCCTGAAGACCTTCTCCTCATTTTAAAGGATTTACTTTTATTCTGTGACCACGGCTTCGAAGGCGGACACCGTGTTTTCCTCTCTGTCTCTTCATTTCTTCAAGAAAGAGATGGAAGAGGGCTCCAGCTCCCCGGTCTCCCCAGTGGATAGTCTGGTGACGAGCGAGGAGGAGCCGGAGCGGCAGCAGAAGCGCTTCTCCAGGAAGAGGAGGCACAGCAAGAAGTCCGGGGAGGATAGCAGCGGCAGCGGGAGCAGCCCCGGACCCGCTCCGGTGAAGCGGGGCAAGAAGCCCAGCCCGAGCAGCAGCCAGTCCTACGAGGAGCTGCAGAACCAGCGGGTCCTGGCCAACGTCCGGGAGCGCCAGAGGACTCAGTCTCTGAACGAGGCCTTCGCTTCTCTGCGCAAAATCATCCCGACGCTGCCGTCGGACAAACTGAGCAAGATCCAAACGTTAAAGTTGGCCTCTAGGTACATAGACTTCCTGTGCCAGGTGCTGCAGAGCGACGAAATGGACAGCAAGATGTCCAGCTGCAGCTACGTTGCGCACGAAAGACTCAGTTACGCGTTCTCGGTGTGGAGGATGGAGGGCGCCTGGTCCATGTCAGCATCCCACTAGCAGAGACCAACACTCACAATGCCAAAGCGGTCGGTATAGACTACTGAAACCTAATTACTCTGATCAATGTGTCAAATAAAACCGGGATTTTATACTTTCTATCCAATTTTAAAAATATTCTCTTTAAGAAAGACTTAATTGGAACTGAATACTGACAG